CCGGCGCTAAAGCGTGGGCGGGGCCTGCTGTGGCTCTCGGGTATCCGGAGCCTACGCGGAAAGCCCCGCCGCCGCGTTGATAGTAGACCAGGAAAGTGCACCTCATTCAGGGATTGAGGAGAAGTGATTGGGATCTAATCTCACATGTTACGGTGGAAGCAGAAAGGTGAAAATAAGCCTAATGATGTTCCAGCAGAGGACCGGAACACGCTAGAAAATAGTTACAAAACAGATGAAAGCGTAAACTTTACACATATTTTTAAATGAAGGAGACAACGGATGCTTTCCAAGAACAGCATAAATCAGAGACAGTAAATCTTTGACAGGCAGAACGGTTAAAGCTCGGGGAAAAGTCTTTAAAACTTTTAAGGAATGAGGGCTGAAAAGAGGTTTTTGTTTTTGGGTTTTTTAAAATTATTTAAATAATTTTAAACCGGGAGTGGTGGCTCACGCCTGTAATCCCAGCACTCGGGAGGCTGAGGCAGGAGGATCGCTGTGAGTTTGAGACCAGCCTGGGCTACATAGTGAATTCCAGGTCAGTCTCAACTACATAGTGAGACCCTGTCTTAAAAAACAAAAACAAAAACAAAACAAAATTTTATTAGTACATGTTTGCAGTACAGAATGATTTCATTCATTGGCGAAGTTGGTACATGTACTTAACTCGTTAACTATTTTTACTTCCTCGCCTCTTCACCTCCCTCCTTTTTTTTTGAGACAAGCACTCTCCTATGTAGCCGACTGGCCTCAAACCCAACTGTCTACCCTCCTGCTTCAGCCTCCCAGAAACTTTAAAATATATATATATAACAAGGTCGGGGATTCAGCTCAGTGGTGCCACCGCCTGCCTTGCAAGCTCAAGGTCCTGAGTTTGATCCCTGGTACAACTGCCCCCCCCCCACAGACACACCAAAGAAAGATTAAAGGCTTCTAAATAGAGAACAAAATAATTTACATGCACATTCATTACTCCAAAGAAAACTAAAGCAAAGTATTGAAACAAATATTTAACAGATTATTCTGAGAAAATTTTGCTGAAATTTGAAAAAAAAAAAAAGATTCGATGTGGAGGCAGTTGTCTGTTATTGCAGCTACTTGGAAGACTGAAGCCGGAGAGTAGGGAGTTCCAGACACATTTCATCACATAATATTTGGGCAACAGAGCTAGACTTTGGATCAAAAAACAAAACCAAAAAAATCGTCAGTCCTTCTGTCTCAGTACTGATAAAGCATACCATGGATATGGAAAAAATAGCCCAGAATAATTAAACCAAGGCATTTTCCAGGAAAATGGTTGGATTTTAAAAATGAGGAAAAATTATTTGAGCATCCAGACAAAAAGTACTAGTCATTTATAAGACAGAGAATGAGCTTGGCATCAGATTTCTCCAAAGCTACATGTTATGCTAACAAAATAACATTTTCATCAAGTGGCCAGGCACGGTGATGCATGCCTTTAAACCTTTATCCAGCACTCTGAGAGGCTGAGGAAGGAGGATTGCAAGCTCAAGCCCAGCCAGGGGGAATTCAGCCACTTAGTGAAATCATCACAAAATACAAAATAAAGTAAAATATTGGCTGGGATGTAGTTCTGTGCAAAGAGCCTGACTTCAACTCCAAATTACATATATATATATATCACGGTGATGCATGCCTTTAAACCTTTATCCAGCACTCTGAGAGGCTGAGGAAGGAGGATTGCAAGCTCAAGCCCAGCCAGGGGGAATTCAGCCACTTAGT